TATTCATTCTTTGAGATTTCCAAGGGACCTCCATCATGGATCAATCCTCTTATGCTTCATAACACCTGAATCTCTACATAGTAGCCATTTCCAAGGAGAATTCCACACATTAATGCACACATATAATCATATTTGTTTCCTTCATGGCATATCGGTCAAGCTAGACCATTATTCCGTTACGGACAATCATGCTCTCAATGAACCTTGTTCAATGCCATCCATGGCGATTCTCTCAACTTCTTCCTTATACATATAATACATAATTAATTCATCTCGCCTATGTTTAATCAACACTACCTCCTTATGGATTTAAATCCCATGTTTCAATATATCTCAATTTAACAATTGACCAGCATTATAATTTCAAGTGGTCAAATCCCATAGGATTAATCATCAATTATTCTATTTATTTCTCTGCATGAACCATCTCAATTTGTTTAAGTGTACATCATCCATCAGGGACTTATAACTTCTAATCAGACATAGAATATTCCAACTCATACTTAAGCATACCTGTTCACCATTTTCCATAATCCAACAGGTTCTAAATCTCTCACCTTGATGAAGTCTATTCACCAAGTCTATTGTACACACTATACTACACACATACTTGGAAGCTTCACCAATACCGTTTCCATACAATGGACTCATCTCAATTATATATCTTTATTATTCATAGTACTACAAGGTTCACCCATGCGATACCGTACATGTCATAGATTTATTTACAACTTTCACTTATAATCCAGCTTTATAAATTTCATCTACAAGGTCAGACGAAACATTTAAGTCTGTTTCCCTTAAGTCCTATAATATTCATATTTTACTTACTGCCATCTCTTGTCCATGGAGCAGTCAATACTGCAGCCACGACATCAGGCTAAGGACTTACATTCGGTGCTCCAAGGTTGCCACGCAGGCTTCTTATGATGACTACGCATGTAACACAAAGGAATGGGTTGATCAGACCCACACTAAGGAATCACATATGCAGTAATCGATAAGAATCTACATACAACTATGCAACACACAACATAAATATACATTATCAGAGTTCCCTAACGAAACTGCTCTGATACCATAAAATGTAACAGCCCATTGTACACCGGTATTGTTAACATTAATTATGATATTAAGCGCAGTTACAATCACAGCAGTTCATTTATAAAAATGCGAATAAACTTTTTCCGATTATTACGCGAGCATTTAAAACATAAAAAGGCGTAATAATTAAAAGCTGTGACCGTAACCGTAAACTCTTGCGGAAGACTTATTTAAACTATTTTTATAACTCACACTACTTATTATAAGTTACTAAGGAGTTCCCATAAACTCACTTAGCCAATTTCCAAACTTTACGTTTTTACCTATTCGGACATGTTTCACTCTTAATTTTTCTGCGACCACACCGCTCGCAACCAAGCCTTCTTCTCATATTAGATCTTTGTCTTACTTAATTCCCTTTTCAACAAGCTATCATATGCTCAATTCGGAGCTCATTAGCTCCGGTTATCGCCGTTTGAAGTTGGATCAGCAAATAGCCAAACAACCCCAAAAACAGCACCAAACCACTCACCTTACTCGATTTACTGCACTCAATCCATTCAACCATTTGCTCTCAAATTTTTATCCTACAAACTAGACATCTCAAACTTCATTTTGATATATCACACGCTTAATTTGACTGAGAAACGAAGCAGGAATTAATTTCCCAAATCCGGTCCAGAATCTGCCCCAGGTGCAGGGGCACATGACCAGTCCGTGTTTCTCTATTTTTTTCAGGCCTAAGATCAACCCATAATTTCCTCAAATTTTGACACAAGGTAGAGGACATCTCAAAATTCAAAATGGCATATGGCACGTCCCTATTGGACCTCTATGGAGGGAGATATGCTCTCCCGAAGTTCGCCTAAAATCTGCCAATTCTACAGAAATTTCGCCAGAGTTTCCTTTGTTTTTCCAATAATCCCAAAATTGTAAACGATCATTTAAACCTCAAATGTACCTAATAAACACATGATAATACAGTAATAATCCAATGGGTGGCACACACAAGGACCAACAACGCCTTGGGGCACTTACAACCCAATCCAGTTTATAGTTATTACACAGTTTATACAATAGAGCTCACATTATATTTCTTACTTGTTTCAATCACATAGGTCCCATTCACATGTAGTTTCACAATATAAGCATGTAATCATAACTCTAACATAGGCCTAAAATCCTTCCATCTTGGTACATCATGCCTCTCTTACATTTACAACATACACTTAAATATTACAACTTACGACTTTAACTTCAAATTGCCTTTTACAATATTACAACACCAATTACAAATTTAGACATAAATTTAAATGATACAAACTACTAGACCTAGGCATGCCAACATGAACAATATGCCAAATACTGAAAATGTTCCTCTATCACCCTGCGGGCCTCTTGCCCGCTGCTCCAACGCTACAGGTACATCCTGAAATAAATGCCCCGAGACGGGGTGAGATATACGAATATATCTCAGTAACCAAGAGGTTCTGGAGAAAACTCCACCCAATGGTTCACTTCGATACATATCAATAGAATAAAACAACCACTTTGAAAACGGGATATAGCAAGGGATTTAGAGAAGTGGGGAATATAAAGAAACAAACTACGACGATACGGGATGGTAACCCCAATTCCACGTACGCCCTGGGCATATATAAGCCTATGGGTATCATCCAAGGTGTGTTCACAGAAACCACAACCATGATGCCCAAACCAACCAAAACGCCAAAGACATTCCTAGTGTGCTCCTACCCAGATCACACACCATGACACGCAGTCAACTGGAACTCCCTCCTGGAGACCTATCCAGCGGAAGTCCGAAAATGCCCGAAGGCTAATAAAACTGTCTACTGGCCAGAGACTCGGTACTGCAGTACCCATAGCAATAATGCATGCATGCTCATGTGTTCTATACTATTCATACACACTTCCTACCGTTGCCATCAACTGGCAAGGTGGAACAGAAAAGGGGAAAAAGCCTCAGTACCAAGAGGTTACCTTAAATGTTATTTTCACAAGCTCCGCAGCAGCTTATCCCACAACTTGGTACACAGTAGAATGCCTACACAAAGGACATTCCCAATCACTTATAATTCAAACAATACATGCTAATTTACAATTATACATGCATTGAACCAATTACATACCTCAATCCACTTGGTCCAGGACCAAGGGCAACTCCCAGATTCAAGTTTCGGGGTTCAAGTCAACGTACGGCAACCTATACAATTACGTACATCCATCAGTACGCGTCAAATATTATCAAAACGCAAAATCACAAAAATCCTCCCCATCCTCCCTTGATGGTTCGGCCAATGAAGTGTAAATTTGAGATTTATTTTTCTAAATTTTCTTTCTCATTTTGTTACGTCTCATTAGGTTGTCAATAGGCCAATTCAAGTGTCGGTTCGTCATTTTCGCGTCGGATTACATCAGAACACGAAAACCGCAAAATCCCCCCTTTTTCCCTTGGAGGTTCGGCCATATAGGTGTTAATTGGGGATTTATTTTTCTAAATTTTCTTTCTCATTTTATTACACTCCCTTAGGTTGTTTAGAGGCTAGTTCAACCGTCGTTTTTTCCGTTTTACGACATTTACGCATCGTTTTGCGAAATATTTCACTTTGGGCTCATTTAGGTCTCTAAACACAATTTAATTTTCTCATTGATTCAAACACTTGCCAATCACAACACAACCCATCTAAGCACTATATAACTACACAAATCATCATCCAATTCATTTTTCAACATCAATTCCTCAATTTTTCCTCAAAGGTTCGAATCTTGCCCTATGACATTCCAAGGGATTTCCATTCAATTTTAATCATTCCAACCCTTATACAACCTATTATATCATCATATCATCATGCCACAATTTATCAAACAAGTCTCAACACCAAGATTCACAAGTCCAAAATCATGATCATCAAATTTTTCTAAGTTAAATTCATCAATTTTCACCAATAAATTTCATCGCATTTCTAGCTTTAATACATCATTCTAACACATTATCATCTAATACACATTTTCAAATTGAGCTCTCTAACACAACATATCATCAATCAAAGATTTAGGTCACAAAATCAATTCATCACAATCAACTGTTTAAAATGCAAGAACACTCACCCAAATGGAAGGTACAAGGCTCCTCCTAAGCATACTCCACCATTGGAGCATTTAAAAGCTCCAAGAACACAAAATTCCTCACCAAAACCGCAACTGAAACAGGGCTGTATCTCCTCACACGCACAGTTTCAAGGCTCAAGAGTGGTACCAATGTGTTTAGGAGGTGTTTTCCATCAAGATTCAAGACAAAAATCGTTGGATTCGGTGGAGAAATGGCTAAGTTATGATCAAATGAAAATTTGCACACCAATGGGGGAGGAGGGGCTGTTTCACGTTGAAGAAGAAAGGGGAAGGAGAGAGAGTGTCGTGAGTGTGAGGGGAAAGTGAGGTGATTTAAGTGAATTTGAGTGGGGCGGGTCCCACACGCTATTTAACTTTAATCCAATCATCAATTTCAACCACAAATTCATGACCTACGTATTTTTCTTGTTCATGTCATATTTTTTTTTCCTAAAAATACTGATAAAATTTTCACGCTTATCGGTACAATTATACCGCAGTATTCTTACACCGAAAATCACTATTCATCAATTTTTTCCCCAAAATGACTTAATTCCATCAAATTTTATCAAAATCATATTTCCTAACTCAACAACCATTTATAACTCATATTTGAAACCTAGAGCTCAAAATTCAACTGGCACGTTTTACGGTGCAATCGTAACGCGGTATTTTTACCTGCGAAAAACACTATTCACTGATTTTTCTGAAACTTGCCTATCCACTCAATTTTTCGTTCTGAATCCATTTCCAGGGTTATTTTTATCATCGGAGACCTTCTGCTCAATTTTTATCTTCCTAGGGTTGCGTGTTGGCTAATTACCGTTTTGCCCTTTCTTTGTATTTTGGCCTTATACTCAGGATTTTCACTAATCCTTCTCTTTAATTCTCATTTAATATTTTAAATATTATATTTTAGAAATGTGAGGTGTTATAGTAAGGGTCACCACCATTGATGTGAACCCCTTGTAGTTTGGTTAAATTTATATTTAATTATTTCAAATTGCATTTATTTTATCCTGTTCTTCATCTTTTAATTCTTTTAGAATTGATCACTCTATTAGGATTGCGAGGGTTATGATTTTCAATAGGAATATTGGGATTCTAGTTCCTGACAAGGGTAAAATAACAGTTCTTGTATGCACTAGGGATAGGCTACATGAACTGCAAACGTGGAAAATTCACTGGGTTAAAGGATTAACTTGAAAAAGGATGTCTAAGGGATTAGGATTCTAATAAGGTTAATAAAGTTAAGATCACTAAGGGATTAGGGCTTAACTAATTAATTATTAGATGGTGAATTGTTTGATCAATTGGGTAATTAAATATAAACATTAATCAATATTACAAGGTGGGGATCGGAAAGGTGTTGGAGTCTTTACTGCAATATCTTTTTATATATTTTTCTCAATCTCAACCTTTTACTTTAAGTTTACAAAACTTCTTTTTGAATTGTTCACGAAATATTGAATAGTTCACAATTGTTACAACACAATTATTCTCAAAAATCAATTTTATTAATCCAACAAGAAAGGAACAGTTAAAATAATTTTGGTGCCTCAATCCTCGTGGAGACGATACTCTACTTACCCTTTATTACTTGGTACGATCGGTGCTCTTGCCGATTTTACGCAACAGTTGTCCATGCCACTATGTTGTTAGTACTTTTGAGTTGAGTTGTATAAACTGTTAGTTGGTCCGGTCTACGTTGTTGTAGTTCCGCGACTAAAGACCCATACTTATGTTATTTATTTAATGAGGTATTTCAGTTAGCTGTTTTATTGCAATTACATACTGGCGATGTTTTATTAATTGATTAATAAGCAAGTTGGTAATGATAATGACATCATAATTGAAAAGAAAAAGATATTCCGCATTTTTAATTAAGCGCAGCTTAATACGATAGTATGATAGCATTACCGGATATATACGGGATGTTACACATTGCTTAGTAATTTTGAATGTTTGTTAAAAATTATGATATATTTTACTTATTAAGAAAATTATATTAGGTTTTACTTTTTTTATTAATATCATTGCATTTCTTTATTTATTCTTTATTTACTCTTGTAATTTTAAATATTTGCTAAAAATTCATATGATTTTTTTAAATCTTATAAATCCATATTATCCTTTCAAATCTTATAAATTCTATTAAAATCTTTTAAAATTCAATTTTACGAAATATTGATTGTAAAAAGATTCTTTTTAAAATAGTCTTTAAAGTTCCTTCAATTCTAAATAGCTTTTTAAAATCTAAAAGATTTTTTATCTCAAAAATACTTTTTAACTTCCTAATCCAATACACCACCCTAAAACCTAGCCAAACAACCAATACAACCATAATAATAATAATAAAATAATATGTTTATTTTTACCCATTGTGATTGCGTGATTTAGACTCGTTGTAATTCCAAAATTGTATAATTTTGCCCCGCGTGATTTCAAAGTAGGGGTGTTCGCGGTCTAGATTGGATCGGTTTTGGAAGCAAAACTTATCCGATCCAATCCCTTCGGTTTGATCATGTAATCATCCATTCGGTTTGGATTTTTTTTTAAATCCGATCTGATCCAATCCAATTTTTTTCGGTTTGGATTGGATCGATTTTCGGTTTTTTGAATATCCTAAAATTAGTTTCATGATTATTGTGCAAATAACATTGTTGTATATATTGCCTTTGTAAAAAAAAAATTTGAAATACGAAAATATCAGTAAACGATACTATAGTTTTTTTTTTTTTGCAATGAGATATGAAACTCTACACCTGTGAAATTTTGTTGATGAGACGTGACTAGGTTTTTTCTTGGGTTAATTTGATGAGTTAATGGATCTTGGGTTTTAAAATTTTTGGGCTATGATTGGGGAAAGGACCAAATAGGTAGAGGAGAATTAATATATTGGATCGGTTTGGATTGGATCGGTTTTCATCAATCCATCCGAAAACCGATCCAATCCAATTAAATTTTGCGATTTTTTTCGGTTTTCGATTTTTCGGTTTATTCGGTTATCGGTTTTTCGGTTCGGTTTTGGCGGTTTGAATCGGTTTGGATCGGTTGATGAACACCCCTATTTCAAAGTATCGTGTATACTTATTGTGGTAATAGAAATGTTTGATTCTCTTAAATATATTTTTTATTTTTAAGATAAATTTTAAGTAAATTATTAACTTTACCAAAAAATTTAAAATAATTAATTTGATTATAGCTTTATTAGATAATATTACACTAATATAGAATAAAAAGGAAAAAAACAAAAAAAATTATAGGTATAGGATCATAAGGATCTAATTTTTTTTATATTATTATTAATTAAAAATAAATTCAAAAATAAATAAAACATTTAAATTTAAAGTAAGGGAAAAATATTTCTGCAGTTAATGCAAATAAGTTATCTGCATTTACATCCAAAACGAAGTCGTTTTGGGATTGAAAAAATAGAAAACTATAATTATAAAGACTATAATAACCCTGAAATAAATTAAAATTACAAAAACACAATGATTTCTGTCCTAAAATGACGTCGTATTGGGCTTACTGCAGATAACTTATCTGCAGTAACTGCAGAAAAAGCGAACCCTTAAAGTAATTATTTATGACTTTAATGTTTTTACAGTGAATGCAGATAAGTTATTTACATTCACTCCCAAAATGACGTTATTTTGGATTAAAAAATTATAATGATAAAGACTATTATAACCTTGTAATAAATTATGATTACAAAAATACCTTAATTTTTGTCCTAAAACGATGTCATTTTATCCTCAACGCAGATAATTTATCTATATTAACTGCAGAAAAAATAAACCCATTATTTATAGGCTTTAATGTTTCTACATTGAATGCAAATAAGTTTTTTATACTTACTCCCGAAATGACGTCGTTTCGAATTGAAAAATAAAAAAATTATAATAATAAAGACTATTATAACCGTGAAATAAATTATAATTAAAAAAAATACTTTGATTTTTGTCCCAAAATAATGACGTTTTGGGCTCGATGCAGATAACTTATCTGCATTCTTTGCGGAAAAAATGAACCCTTATTTATATAGATGAAAATATTTTTAAAAATTTATAATTTAAATAAATTTTTAAGATTATGCTTTTTATATCTTAAATAATATTTTTTTATTTCTAATATAATATGAAATAAATAAATTACTTTTTTGGATGCTTAACTTATTTTTTAAGATAATTTTTAAAATATTTTTATAAATATAATTTTATTTTAAAATATAATAATTAATATAATATTATAATAATAAAAGAAAAAAATTAAGAAGAAAAAAATTGTATATATATAAGACTAGAAGAGGTCTAAATGAAATATTTTTATAACCACAATGATTATACATGATATTTTAAAATCACATGGGTTTAAATTATATAATTTTATAATCGCAATAAGGTCCAAATGATAAGTTTAACATACGTGTCAAACTATAAATCATGTAATTACAATGGGTGAAAATAAAATTATCCCTAAAAGGAAAACATTTCACTCAAGTGCGCTTGCTTGTAATCACAGTGCCAATCAAGTTTAGAGAGTGAGTAATTTCATGTGTTATTATTCAACACAAACATGTCATATCAAAGGATACTAATCATTTATAAGCAAACCAATAATAATAAGATATGAGAGAAAAAATATAAAAATATAAAATAATAAAATTATCACTATTGATCCGCACATATAACATAATCATATTAAATAATACATGATAGCATTCACTCCCTCAAATCTAGGGGGTACTTAGAAACACCGTGGCCTCATGGGACAAGTTTCTCAAACAACTTGAGTGTAGCATTCCTCCGGTGGCAATTTGATATTGAACTTTAACTCGCAAAAATATTTTCGGTTGAGTTAATATTTAAAAACCAAAATATTATAATCCGATAAATCATAAATATTATCATTTTTATATCAGGTTTTTTACTTCTTCAATTTTATGAGCAAAACAGATCAAGTGCAAAATTAATTCACCATTTTTCCAATCGAAGCAAGAAAACCAAATACCATTTTTTAAGCTATGAATAACGGAAGAACAAATGATTTGTCTGCTTTACCAACAATTGTGAATTTTCCAAAGATGGGCGTATTTTCTCGCGATTAATTTTTGACAACATATTCGTTACTAGTTGAAAAAGACATGGCAAATGCCTCGGCGAAGACTTTGACGAGAAATTTTTGTTTAAAAAAAAAAAAGTAGCATTGAGAACCCAAGAACAAAAGCAACAAAAGTAATCTATACAGGTTTCGCGCTTGACCAGATATCAAGATAGAATATCTAAGTTAGAGAAAGTAATCCTGTTGATTCATCAACTACAGGAGAAGTTTAAAATATCGGAAGAAACCACTGAAGATAGTTTGTTTTCTTCTCATTTTTTGGGGATTACCAATGATAGTTTACGAGAGAAGAGAGACGAGAGAAACAAATTCGAGGGTGACCCGGCCCTTCGACCTTGTGTTGATGACAAAATGCTCAGGGTACTTCCTCAATAGCATGAGTAAGCCATACCAAGGCTTCCCTTTGGATTCAGGACCAGGCCAATCGTCTGATGTCAGATATCTCCTTACCCTACTGTGGTGCCAAACACTGCTATACTGCTCCAGCAACTAAACAATAATATATAAGAGAAGCATTCAGAGTTTAAACGCATGAGTTTGTGCATCTTAACAAACGAGTTTTAGAAGCATAACGATGCATTTTAAACATATATTAGGGTAATTGAGTCATTCAGCAGTCTAACTTCTCTATAAAGCAACAAGTGGATGTCTAAGATTAATCTTTCCTAAACCTACCCAGTCATTCCCTCCACTATTTTCCACATTCCCACTTTCACTTGTTACAATGTTAACGAGCAACCTGTTGATGCCCCCAAGTAAAAGGAAAAAGATTAAAATGGCCTAAATTCATGCATAGTTTTCATCCATGTGGGTTGGAAAAATTGAAAAAGCATATATGGAAAAGCACCATGTTAGACTAGCAATATTTATGAAAGCATCAATGTTAATTGTTACATAAGAACTCAGAAAAAAAAGCTTATAGTTACATGAAAATTGTGATATGAAGTAGAATGCGGAATTACGATATGACTGATAAAAATAGGTTACCTAAACCCTAGGACTCCTTAAATACACGAGTCAGATGAATGGTTATGCCAATAAAAAACAACATTTTTTTGTGCCTAGGACTTGAGACTTTAAGAGTATGTTTGGAATCAATTAGTTTAGGACTTGATTTGTTTTATGAATGATAACTTTTGTTTGGAAAGTGATAAAAAATCTTTTGTGTGGAAATCCACCTTCAGTCGCATACAGATAGAAATCCACACAAATTTGTTTTGATTTGGGTGGATATGTTTTTAGCTTTAATTGTTGGAAGTGACATATTTTCCCACATCAGTTAAGTCATTAAACTATGGGAAAACTATGTAAAGTTGTGTCATTTTAAGTGAGAGAAAGAGATAAATAAAAGAGAAGAGAGAGTGGACAAAAAAATATAAAGGTGTGGGTCCCACCTCTTTGTGAGAGTGAAATAACATAAGTTGTGTCATTTAAAAGAACAAACATTTTACCCTTAAACAATACTATGTAAAGGTAATAAAGTAAATTACTAATATAAAATCAAATCAATTATTTTTGGTGCTCCAAACATGAAATTGAATTGTAAATCAATTCAAACCCTATTTTTTTATAACAAAGTTGCAAATTAGAAAATTGATTTCTAAATCAATCAAATCAGTTCAATTCAGATCAAATCAAAATTATTCCATTTTTTATGATTCCAAACACAACCCTAGAGTTGGCGATAATTCAGAGCATTGTTGGATTCTACAACAGATAACTTCTTACGTAGAATTCTGGGGACAGCCACTAAAATGGATAAAAAGGCCCCCTACTCTTGCAAGTTTATAAAATCACGAAAGGAAGTTCGGTAGCAAGCAATGACTTAAAAAAAAAAATTGTCAGAACTAACCTCTGCATGAAGTTTCTCCATAGGCATCCACTCTCCAGGACCACAGAGATCAGAGAGAACAGTAGCTACAGATGATACTACATCCTTTTCTTCCAACTGCTGAAGCTGAAGATTATCAGCATCTCGATCCACTCGGGATCTGCCTTCTGACTTCTTATCTGCAGGAACCAAACCATCACAATTTCATCCCCAGCTACAAATTCCGACACTAATCATGTATAATAGAAGTTGGATCAAAAGCAAAAGGATACAGAATGGGGTAATATCAATGGGGTAATATCAATAAGTGCAAATCCCAATGCACAAGGCTCCCCAACTTTGAAAGAGTTGGGGGTGAGGGTTGATTGTACTGGTACACAACCTTATCCTTACACTTATGCAAAGAGATTGTTTTCTGGTCTCAAACCTGTGATCCTTCGGTCATAAAGGAACAACCTTTTGGCTGCTCCAAGGCTCACCCTCTGGGATAATATCAATAAAAAAATTACAAGAATTAGGTAAAATGCATGGACTTCATACTATTAATTTGGGCATCTTTGTAGTTTTTCAGATGGACATTATTTCTAATATATTCTTTTATTGAATATATATATATGTTTTGATGATTTAGATTTCCAATGCAAAAAACTATTTTCAGTTTAGTTTCTTTATTTGATTTTACACACAGCATTCAATGGGAATAAAAATCATTTCAATCAATATTAAAAAATAAGTCATGACAGAAGCTGATCAATTACTATTTACAAGTTTCCAAAAGGGCACAATAACCTTTCCACCTATACTTCTGTTGACTGGTAGTATACTAGTAGTTTAAATGCAATCTCCTATATGTACTTTAAGCTGTTATATTTCAGAAGAACTCAAATTCGTCTATTTTTATAACTTGCTCATAGTTTAAGACATGTTTTTACTGCTTCAACCTATACTCAACCTATAAAGAGGAAAACACCATCAACATCAATGTCACTTTTATCCAAAACTAGTTGGAGTTGGAGGTCAATGAAACAAATAAAAGCAAGAACATAACAGACAGATTTAAAAATTAAATTGAACCTACATGTATTTCATCTTACAAGATATAATCTGTTAAAATAAAATAAAAAATGGAAAATTGATTGCATGCAAGGAAGCAAGACTAATGCCACATCAATAAGTAAAAAAAAAAAAAGGAGCCAACTATAATTTAACTACAAAGTACAGTCACATTATATTAGCTTTAAAAGAAATCAACCGAACTGAGGCTATGCTTGGCTGGAGTGAAAATGGGCAGGTGGAAAGCCGGAAATGGAAATTTATTTTCACAAAATAAAGTCTGGATGCTTTGCCATTTTCCACTTGCCTATCCTCACTCCAACCAAGCAATGCCTAACTCTTGCAGCAATCATGCATGACGAAGATTTACAATACCTAGAGAGAGAGAACTGAAGGACATGAATATAAAAAACTGAATTTTCTAATATTCAAGAACAAGAAAACCTGATCAATACATCCACTTGAATGTTACTATAATGCAAAATAATATATCATATATATCCATTTTGATTAAAAAATTTAAATAATAGAAAGTTAAGCTCATATAAGGATTCTACATTAAAATTGAAGGATTATTTATTACATATAAATCAAATTTAAGAGCATATTCATTAAAAGCAAAAATGAATGGCTACTGCTTCCAATGAAAGTACCTCTGGTCTGTCAAGCAGATTAAACAGGCACACAAAAAGGTTCTGTGGTAATTTAGCTACAAAAGTAGTAAATCCAGAAGAAGAAGAAGAAAATTACTAATTCATCTACATCATGGTTGTCAAACTCGTAGATCCTACCTAGGATTGGCCAGGACATGTAGACACTTAAAAAGTGGTTATTGGAAGAGAAGGACAAAAACAATGAAAGGAGAGTTTTATATAATTTTGTGTCTTTATTCTAAATATGGTCATATCCTCACACTTCATCACTTTCCACTTCCCAAAAACAACCCAGTACTCACAAAGAACCGATAAAGAGAGAGAAGAAACACAATACCCATAAACAGAGAGAACACCAAAACAGGGAACCTGGAAACATGGGGAATTGCAACAGGACCCAATACTCCCAGCACCAGAGTCACATCTCGAGTGTCCAGAAATTTAATCGGCAGTCACAAAACCAAAGTCCAGACTTCCAGTTGCAACTTATTACAGTTTGTATCAGCCTTGGGCAATGGTTAAGGTTAAAATCCACCGCCCTCTAGATTAGAGGGAGGGTTATTTTGTGTGGGTTTTAGCTGGGTTATTGTTGGATTTAGTGCATCAACTGGAATTGATGGATCTCACAATCCCACTGAGTTTACGTTTCAACACGCAATCCCATCATGATCCCAGCCAAATGGGTTCTGAGCATGGACCGGCATCACTCAAACTTGAAACCTATGAAGCACTGATACTGATACGGCGTTTTCGATACATTCTCGACACATAACATCGATACGTTACTTCAAAAATACTAATATTTCGATATGTTACTTCAAAAATACTAATATTTCGATACGTTCCAATACGTCTTAGTATTAAATAATATTTTTAATATAGAGTGTATTTCACATTAACAAAATATAATAAAAGGAAAATTATAAGCTCAAATAATAGATTATCCATACAAAATTGATAAGTAGCTCAACTAATGTGTGGATGTGGAGTGCTACTAAAAATTAACAGAAACAAAATTAATTACAAATTAATATGGACAATGAAATAGCAAAAAAAAAAAGAAACGGAAGAGACAAAGGCACGATAAATGGCTTGCTGAATATGGACAAGAGACAAAGGCACAACAAATTAACCAAGAGAATTATTAAACCAAGATAGAATTATTAAACCAATATGGATAATTTTTGTTCACTGTCAGCAAAAAAATAAGAAGGAGAGACAAAGACATGATAAAAAAGGGAAAAAAAAAAGACAAACCGACATTATTAATGCTCTTTTTTTTATTTTGGTAACAATATTAATGAAAGATAAAAAAAAGAAAAAATGAGGTTAAAGAATAAAGACAAATCGAGAGAGATAGTTGCAGACGCAGTCACGCGAGGAGAGGAAAGAAGGAAGAACAGCGTTGAGGAGAGGAAGACGGCGGATGTGAGTCTGCAGAAGTGAGTCGGAAGACGGCAGAGATGGCAGAGGAGAGGTAGATGGCAGAGACGGCAGAGGAGAGGAAGACGGCAATTGGTAGAATGCTGAAGTGAGCTCTCACTCTCAGCGATTTCGATTTCAAAGGCAGACGTTCGAGGTGAGGTGAGTATAGCAGTGAGTCAGATTTGAATTTAGGGTATTTTTTGGGCCAAAATCTTCACCCTTCAGTTTTTTAAAATTCACAAACCTGTCATTTGACCTAATCGAATTTGTTGACCAAGCTGTTACGTAAAAATCGGGCAGGGACGCGTATCGGATACGTACAAAAAAATTTTAGCACGTATCGGTGCTTTATAGCTTGAAACACATAGGTTCATGCATTTTCTACAATATGACTTGTGATTTTGGCAACTCCGATATGATCTACATGCTCACCACTATATACCAATCTAATTATTCAAAAGCTGTAGCATATTTGTGAACAGTGAAAGCACACTTGCAGCAGTAGGTGACTTATAGGACTATAGTGAATAGTAGAAAGTGCAGTACAATTATTTTGAAATATGGTGCATATTATATTAAAACTATGATATATTTAAATATTTAATATAATTCAAGTAAAACAATTTCCTCATATCACAGGGAAATTAGTATGTCTTGGGCCCCTTAACATGAAAGTATGAAACAGACAGAAGGAAGAGTAAATCCAAAAAGAGATAGTATAAGATTAGAATATGTCATGTATAAACATCAAATATCCATCTCCAAGACAACTTGGGCTAGTCACTTTAGGCTATGCGGTTGGGCATAGAATATCTCAAAATTTATAATGCCCCAAGGATTAACATATCCACAATCCCCCAAAATGGCTAACATAAGCTATCGTGCAATTGGGATATAGACAGTTATATATATTTTATCATCTAATCCCTAGCACATCCATACTGCAGGCCTTAGGGTATTGAAAATTTCAGGCATCATCACAAACTCAAACTCATCATATCATAACTGTGAATCTCAATCATGGTTTTAAATGGTGGAGACAAAGATATGTTATCACCATAGACATTATGCCAGAAATATTGAAGAAGTTGTAAATTTCGTAGTTTCCAGGACTGAACCTAAAGAGTTCACTAGAAAGCAGATATAAATGCTCACTCCCCGAAGAAAAAATAAAAGTTGTATCCTCTAGCAGATTGAATAACAAGACACATTTAGCGGGTAACTCAAGATAGTAAACAGAAACAGTGTACATATCCTACTACATTCACTAAATCCAAGAAAACAATCAATAAATCACCAAATCAGACACATCCCACACAGCCAAATAAAAATTCTAAACGATACAGTAAAAACAGTCACAGAAATTTTCTTTCTTTTTTTTAAAAAAAGGGCAAGAAACACTAACCCAGTCCTCCTGAAAGCGAAGCCTTGCCCCCAGAACCTACTCCACCGTAGCCATAACTTTCATAACCGTCCCTCCTCATCTTTTTCCCACTACTCCCACCAACATCATCCTCATCATCATACTCCTCCTCATAATAATCCCTCCTCCGCTTCTTAACCACCGAACCGCCTCCGCTCCCGGCCGCAGCACCGCCCAAATGGTAATTATAATGCGGCAACACCGGTCCTCCTCCGGTCACCATCGAAGACGAATGATTAGGGTAATGACGCGGCCCAATCGGACCGCCCAAGATGCTCCGAACCGGCAACAGGAAGTAGAACTCCTTGTCCCCAATCTGCAACAGATCCTGCGAATCAAGCTTCACCGGAGGGTTTCCGGGAAGGTGCAGAACCCCCTCAACGAGGCACCCGTTCTTCCCCAGAACCTCCAGGGCGAATCGCCTCCGTGCGAAGTCGTAGAAGATGCGCGCGTGGTGGCGCGAGATGTTCATACCGCCGCCCAGGCTTGAAAGATCCACGTCGACGGTGGATTTCTTCGAGTTTCGCCCTAGCACGATGGAGTAGGTTTGCATGTAGTACTCGAAGTCCTCGCCCTGCAGCTTCGCGAATCCGGCTTCCACGTCACCGCTCGCCACGGTGGTTCCCATGGCCGTTGTCGGAGAACGAGAGAAATTGAAATCGGCGAGAAGAAAAGAGTTTGATCGCGTGCGTCTTGAAAGTGCGTGCGTTTAAGGAAGTGGTGAAAGAATGTGAAAACTTAATTTTGTTTATACGCACGAGGTGATTTTTGTGATAAAATTGGAGAGATTTTTAAAAGATTATTTAGAATTAGAGAGATTTTTAAGTAATTTTCATAGAGTGCATAGCTTGGTGATAGCTTGGCCTTTGTATCTTAAGTGATAGATTTTTAAGGATTCAGACAAATCTAGGATTAAAAAATCCGTTTCAAATTGAGCGAACTTGGCCTTTGTATTCTTGGGTGCCTTTGTATTTTTGGGTGATAGCTTGGTGTTTGTGTGGGGAAAGAAATAAGGCGATCTTTAATCAAACGAGCACTTGAAAAAGGGTATTCTAATATATTATGGAATTGTAAATAATCTGTACAAAGGATTCTCTATTTATAGAGAATACTTGACCTAATTTTGACCTAATGGGCTTGGCCCAATACAACAAATAAATGACTAAATAATAACTAAATAACAACTAAATAATTATTATTTACAACCCTCCCCAGGGGTGGCAATACGTGTCAACCCGGCACGACACGTGCCCAACACGTGCATAACTCGACACGACCCGAACACGACACGTTTTATAAAAAGGTCGAAAAACACGAACCCGGGCACGGCCCGCTGCGGATCACGGGTCGACACGACCCGACCCGCAAAATTTAAAATTTTAAAAAAATGCGATTTTTAAAAATTAAATAAATTAAATACAATCAAAAAAAAGACTAGCTTTGTGATTAGGTTTTTCTTTGTCAGGCTTTGGAAAAATTGTTGACATGTATGTAAATGAATCAGGAGGCCCATGTCAAGGCAATATCTTCGATGGCTGCTTAGTGCTTTGGGAGTAGGGGTGTGCAAAAAAATTGGTTGACTTGCCTTGCCCTTGATCCGACCTTCACCCGATCCATAAATACCCATATTTTTTGAACTGGTTTAAATACTAACCCACTTTTATTTGGGTCAGTTTTAGACCTGACTCGTTTTAATATTGACCCACTGACCCAAAACTTGACCCATACCCATTATGTGAAAAAAAAAATCACAATTACATTAAAAGAAAAGTTTTAACGTAAAACAATTACGTCAAAATTTTTTATGGAAAATATTTGCATAAAAATTTCCGCAAAATTTTTTGACGAAAAATACTTTCCTCAAAATTTGTGACTAAAAACATATCTGTAAAAAAATTTGACGGAATATTTTTTTTGTCAAATTTTTTTACGGAATCTAAATTTCGTCAAATATTTCACAAAAAAATATATTCATAAAAACTTTCGACGATACACATTTTCCTCGAAATTCTTTGACGGAAAAAAATTTCATCAAAATTCTTTACAGATTTCAAATTTCGGCGAAAGTTTTCGACGGAAACATTTTCGTTATTTTTGACAAAAAAAAATTTCGTCGAAATTTTTAGCGAAACACATTTCTATCAAAAAAATTTGACTAAATATTTTCATCAAGTTTTTTGATAAAGAATATATCCATCAAAATTTTCAACGAAACACAATTTTGTAAAAAAAATTCGTAAAATTTTTTGACAAAAATATTTCGATAAGAAATTTTGATAGAAAAAATATTTTGTCTAAATTCTTTAGAGAATCTAAATTTCGTCGAAAGTTTCAAATGAAATATTTTCCTCAAAACAATTTCCATTGAAAATTTCGACGAAACACATTTCCATCAAAAAAATTCGACGGCAAAAAATTTCATTTAAATTCTTTACAGATTTCAAATTTCGGCAAAAGTTTTCGACGGAAATATTTTCGTCATCAAAAAATTTTGACGGCAAAAAATTTCGAGGACAAAAAATTTCATCAAAATTCTTTACAAATTTCAAATTTTGGCGAAAGTTTTCGACGGAAACATTTTCCTCATCAAAAAATTTTGACGGCAAAAAAATTCATCAAAATTCTTTACAGATTTCAAATTTCGGCGAAAGTTTTCGACGAAAAAATTTTCGTTTAATTTTTTGACAAAAAAAAATTTTCGTCGAAATTTTTAGCGAAACACATTTCCATCGAAAATTTTCAACTAAATATTTTCGTCAAAATTTTTGATAAAAAATTTCCATCAAAATTTTCAAAGAAACAAATATCTATAAAAAAATTTCCGTAAATTTTTTTGACAAAAAAACATCTTGAGGAAAAAAATATTTTATTAAAATTCTTTAGAGAATCTAAATTTCGTTGAAAGTTTTAAATGAAACATTTCCCTCGAAATAATTTCCGTCAAAATTTTCGTCAGAACACATTCCCATCGAAATTTTGAACGCAAAACATTTCGTCAAATTTTTTGACAAAATTCTTTTTTCGTTTAAAACATTTGATGTAAGAAATCATTTTCGTCAAAACTGTTGACGGAAACTAAATTTCAATAGAAAATTATTTTTTGTAAAAATTTCGACGAAAAAATAATTTTGTGACGAAATTTTCGTCTTTTGCAACGTAAAAATTTCGACAAAATTTTGTGAGAAAACCAAGTCAAAAATGGGTCAGGTCAGATTTGACCCAGTTCAGAAACCAAGTCAGACTCACTTCAGAAACCAAGTCAGGTCAGATCTAAACTGGTTCTGAACTAGTTCAACAAAATCCAATCCAAGTTAGACCTGACTTGGATCAAATTAAAGCTGGTCGGGTCAAAATACCTGACCTATAAAAACCAAGTGAGGTCGAGTCGGACAAAAACCTGACCCGACCTGACCCATGCACAACCCTATTTGGGAGAAATAGCGATTGCGTGTTTGTCTTCTTTCTCCTTTCCTTAACACTAACTCTGTATTCATTTTATTGTGACACAAATATGCACCTAAAGTAAATAATAATAATAATAATAATAATAACATACATAATAAACCAAAATCAAATAAAAAAAGGAGTAAATACCCTTTTTGGTCCTCAGAAAATTTCACGAGGCCCGTTTTAGTCCCTAGCAAATAAAAAGGCTCATCATGGTCCCTAAAAAATTTAAATTGGACCCATTTTAGTCCTTTTGAGGACTAATATGACTCTTTTTTGAATTTGTGAGGGACCACGATTTCAACTAAATGGGTCCTTTTGAATTTTTGAGGGACCACGATGGGCCTTTTATTTGCTAGGGACTAAAACGGGCCTCGTGAAATTTTCTGAGGATCAAAAAGGGTATTTACTCTAAAAAAAACATGATGAGTTCAATTTCATGAATTGTCATCTACCTAGAAAAAACATCAACAACCTTAAATAATCCAAAAGAGAATATAACAAATATCATCAACCTCATAATTTCATCCTACCATCATCAATCTAAATATCTCATGGCTAGGGCAAAGTACAAACTCATCAAAATAAAATTATACAATAAATATTCTAAATCAAACACTAGTTTATGAATCAAGTTCATTTTAGGGTTCCTCCACCATCAAGTCCTTCATCAAGTCTTCAGTTAAATCTTCCATAGGTAAAATTTCACCATCTATTATAAAACAAGTAATAAAAATAATTAGAGCAAAAAATTATATAGCCAAAGATATCATCACAACCATAAATAAGATAAAAATATTGCCAATGGCTCCATAAAGCCAATCTCTAGTGCAAATTAAAGCCTCCACTGCATCATGTGAGAGAGAACTTCTATATTGGTCTAGAACTCTTCCCCCAACACTGAAAGAACTTTCAGAAGCAACACTAGAGATGGGTATGCCAAAGATATCTCTGGCCATTGAAGCAACTTGTGGATACCTGTATTGATTACCCTTCCAATATGCTAATACATCTAATTTGAACTTTGCATCAACCCTTGGCTCATCTAGGTATAGCTCAAGTTGTGACTTTAGGGGCACAGTAACAACATTAGAAGTAATGAATTCCTAATAAAATTAAACAAAAAAACAAACATAAATTAAGCTAAGTTAAAGTAAAGTAAAAAATAAAATAAAATAAAGCAACAAATAAAATAGAAGGTGATATAATAATATGTCAACTTACACTTAAGACATCATCATCAACCTCTGAGAATGAAGCTAAGCTAGGATCAGTGGTTGCACTTGCACCTCTTATGTGTTGTGTTGAGGAAGATATTGAAGAAGGATCAGGTCCATGCTTTGCATACTCATTAAACAACTTGAACAACTGGCTATTCACCTTTCCACTTTCTTGGATTGCAGAAGTTTCATCAAAAGACTTTCCGTAACAGAATTCAATAAAATTCATCTTATACCTAGGGTCCAAAACACATGTTATGGCTAAGTCCGTACTATATTGGGACCAATACTTGTTGAATTTATTGAACATCTTTGTAGCCATCTCCGTAATATAATCATCAGCACTTTGCAAAGCATTGTGTAATGTCAAGTGTGCTTTAAATACCAAGGGAAAATACAGATTAGCCGTTGCATACTTAGTGCCAGAGAATATACAAGTAATTTCATAAAAAACCTGAAGAAACTTGTTGATCTTTTCAATCCTTTCCCATTCTTCTATAGATGGACAATGCTTGTAGTTAGAATCAGTCAATCTAAGATGCGTAAAAGCACGTTTATAATACAAAGCATTGTTAAGCATGATAAATGTTGAATTCCACCTAGTAGGAACATCTTGCCTCAAACCCTTCTTAGAAAAAATTGAACTTTGAGTGACACATTCAAAATATTTTTCTTTCCTACCTTGTGAACCCCTCACATATTTAATATTTTCCCTCACTTTTAGAACTGAAGTGTCAACCTCTTTCAAACCATCCTGAACAATCAAATTTAGAACATGAGCACAACAACGCAGATGGAAAAATTTTCCAGCACACAAAAGTCCATCATTAAGCCTTAATTGACCACTCAAGAACTCAACACATGAATCATTTGCAGATGCATTGTCCAATGTCATTGAAAATATCTTCTTTTCTAAGCCTCATTCTATCAAAAAAGTGTGTATTTTTTCAGCCAAGGAAATTCCATTATGAGGAGGAGGCATATGACTAAAATTCAAAACTCTTTTCTGGATTTGCCAACCACGATCCAC